ACGAGCATGTAACGACGGAACTCTGATTCGAGGCTCCAACTCACCCATCCCATTACCTATTCCTTGTTATTGGTTGCGTTTACATCGTGTGGTGTACATTTGTCTGCTTTCTTCATGATTAAACACTGTGTATCATATTCTTCCTTATGAACAGGGCATTCACGACAGAGTTTATTTGCCTCATTTGCTGCTACCGGATCTCTTCGACTTTTCTGCTTTGCACAAACAAAATCTATATGGGTTTATTTCGTTTGCACGACCGTTCAGATTCATTGATTAAAGGAAAGGTGTGCATCTCTTCGTCATTCATCATCTATGTTTTACAGGTACTATTCCTCGAATGTAGTGCTCTTGTACACAGCCACTCCATCCTTGATCTGAACCTTGGCTGGACCATGACTGCTCTGACTCTTTCCTCTTTGCACGCCTGGAGAGACCACGCTCGATCCGTCTAAGCTCAAGGGCAATGGTGCTATGATGCGTTATGGTTGCCTTTGGCCCCTTTTTCGAATCACATGGCTATTCCTTCTGGGTTAACACTGAAACCCCCCACGAAGGACAGCTTATCCTCCACATTCCCATGCCCGCGTATTTGAAGGGTATTCGTACTCATCTCCCTATTTGCTGGATGGTGAAGCGGAGAATATGAGCCATGAAATGCAACAGATGGTGCGCTTACTCCGGTCCTTGGAAAATAGCTGACGCGTCGACTAGAGCCCAGTTGTCTGCCCTGCACGGACTGCACAGAATCAGGACGTCGTAATACGCCTGGTTGAGGTAGGTTCATATGGTGACCAGCACAGTCGTGCATTGGACAGATTAGGAGCCACACATCTCGCCTCCCTACCTCAAAACCATGCCTTGCCCGTTCTCAATCGGTTTGCATATGAGAATCAGTGCTATTTCGCTGTATTTCCCATGATGCAAGATGTATTGTCGCTGCCGGATTTTATGATTATCTAGAAGCAGCAGATTACGCTGAGCAACTGGTCGAGGTTGGCTAAACATGCGCCATGTGTCTTCGTTGAGATTGACCTAATTTGCAGGGCCTGATCTTTTTTCACGAGAGATCAATTTCGCATGGGGTACATTCCTATTTCTCTTTTTTGGTGTCCCCACATGTTGATATTGCCTCTCTAGGATATCTGCGAAGAAAATATTCTCATTAACCTTGTCGGACGATCTTTATGCACGGCAGAACAGCCTCTGCGCTCTCGATTTCCGGCTCGCTATGTTATACGGATTCGAATTCTCAACATGTTCTGACGAAGGAGAGAGTCGGTCTTCCGTACAGCCCAGTGTCTTGGAGTGACCGCGGGGGCGTTTATAGCCGACCTTCAGCTCCTGAAGTATCCAAACTAGGCTTCTATAGTCCCTTCCAAGCGGATGTATGGCAACTTGGGCATTTGCTTCATAGTGAATTTAAAAGTAAGTTATCTTATTCCTGACCGGCTATGCCAAAGTTAACTTATAGACTCGCAGGACTTTCCGCACTTCGAAGGTTATCAATTGCTATTCAAGAACATGATGAAGGATGATCCAAGCCTGAGAGCTTCCCTCAAAGAGGCTTTAAAAGAAGTGCGGCACCAGAAGCAAGATCTTCATCCCAGACGAGGTCTTTCTAGTGATAGTAACAGATGCGCGGCACCCGACGGGACGACGAAAACCATGCAACAAACAGAAAAGATAGCTCCGACTGACTTAGAGGAGTCGAGTAAAGTCCGATGAACAATTATCCATGTCCGCTATATGAGAGAATGTGCTTGGAAGGTTCCAATTCGTCTTCTGCCTCCCTTCTCCATATGCATATCCAATACGTATCGAGTCCGTAGTTCAATCCATATGCAAAACACTACATTATACAATAACATTACACAAACCAACTAAATTGAGTTGAAGAAAGCTTAGACGGTAATGGATGAAAAGAAGACATGATGGAACGCGAAGAAAGAAAAAATCATGAAAAGTGCGTCCTTTGAGCGAACAAGTATTGAAAATGAGCCCAACCATCTCTCAAGACTTTGTCGCTCCATACCCCTCCGACCTCGTTCACTCCCTTGCACCCACTCATCACCCACTGTCATTCATCGCAACGTCGCAACGTCCGGTTTTCTAATAAGATGATTAGGATAGAAACAACCTTTGTCACTCAACTTGATGTTGGTGCCAATGACTAGCGCCGGTACCGGTGCAGAAGCAGAAGCCAGCAACTTTATGGTATTCGCTGGAGCAGGAGCAAGCGGCGCGCTGGATGGGGAAGGCGTTGTTGACATTTCGGATGTTCATGGTGGTGAAGTTGACCCAGTGGCAGCAGCAGCAATGGGTACTGGCATATCCAGACAAAGAACCTGCAGTAACAAGCTGGTCCTTGGAGAAACCTCCGAGTCAAAGAAATGAGAAAAGAAGAAAATAGAAAAACAAAGGAACTACAAGATCTAGTGCTCCCATCAAGGTTTGAACTTGCTTTATGTATATGTCTAGTTGTGACATTCATCCGAGTGTACTAAGGAAGCGTTATTATTTAATGGTTTGTGCTCCACTATATATCTACTAGTACAGTACCAGTGAAGAATCGAGTTACTGTGCTAGAGGCATGTACAGTACATCCATAGCACCCATAAATTAGATGATAGATTATATACAATACTTTTGATTCTCCCTCTCGTTTCCGCCTCACTCTCATCCTTCCTTCCTCGTTCCCACTCGTTCATTTATTCAACACAACACCCACCGGGCCCTCCGCATCCCCACCCCTCCGTGCCTTTCCCGATATTTTGGAGTATCGCGAGAGGAGGTATGTGTAGTTCCTAGCGTGAGCGTATGAGCGTTGCGGAAACTTAAAGATGGAGAAAGCGAAAGTAGAAATCAAAAGACGAAAGAAAAGACGAAAGAAAAAAGATAGAGGAACGCTGACTCACCTCCTTTCAGGACTAATCCACGCCATACCCAGCTCATCCAATAATATTTCTTCGGTTGGGGTTGGTATTAGAGTCCATTGGCCGCTGTGCGTATTCTCGTTTGTAGATTTCTCCAAGTCATCAGATTCGATTGGGTTGCCATCTGCTCCCTGTGAAGGCGGATTGGCTCCGCTCGCCTCCCACCTCCAAACCCCAAACTCATCCAAATATAACCCCATCCTCTTCGCTCTGACCTTCATCTCGCGTACGAACTCCGAGTCACCTGTGAGGTGGAGGAGGGCGGAGGGGAGGGAGGGGTGTGGGGGGAGGCTACGGGCGGCGCACTGTGTGAGTGGGTGCAAATAAAACGAAGAACGGGCACTCACTTCAAATCCAACTTTCTATACACCCCTTCACCGGCTTTGATAGCTCTCATACGGTCTATTCTTGATTCCTTCTTCTCCGGCACTCTAACGACTCCCGTCCACTTCCACTCTCCTTTATGGAATTCGCCAAGTTCCATCCCATCTCCACCTAGACCCATCACTCCCTTCCTTTTCGCTCTTCTACCCCCATTAGAAGTGAGCGTAGGCATATCACCCTCTGCAATCAAACCGCCCTCCCTCAACCTCGGCACCACCTCGTTCAGCAACATCGACTCGTTTCTCGCTTTTGCTGGTATGAAGAGAGAACGAAAGAAAAGGTCTGTGCGGCCTCGGCGGGTTGGAGGGTCTTCCGCAGAGAGGGGGGAGGATGGGGAGGAACGAGGTCTGCCTCGACCTCGGGCTCGGGCTGTAGGCACGGAGTCGAAGTCAGAGTCAGAGTAAGAGGCATCTTCCGAATTGTCTAAACTCTCGCTGGAGCTTGAAGTGGAACGGAGAGTCGCCCCCGCCCCCGAGGGAGGCCCCACCTGCGGCTTGGGTACATCCTTCACAAGAGGATGCACCAAACACAAGTCGACCCTCCCGCTTATAGGAAACCCGCGTCTGTAAGCACCCGTGGGGATTACCCTATACCCGCTAGGCAACAACTCTTGCACCAACTTCATCACACTCTCCACTTCGCTTCGGGTAACAGGTTGGATGAGATGTTGGTAGAAACGGAGATGGGTTAGTTGCGCTGAGGTTAGGTTGAGGTCGAGGTCGGGTTTCAGAGAGCTTGTATTCGATGGATTGGAGGAAGGGAACACTACATTCCTCAACTCTTCCACACTCCCAATCCCACAACTCACCAGATGTCGTGCAGTTGTCAGACCTATTGAGGGGACGGACTGAAGGTCGGAAACGGCGGCTCTACGGGCGAGGTCGAGGCTTCGTTGGGAGGTGGACGGCGTGCGTAGCGGTTCGGGTTCTGTGCTTTGGGTAACATTGACAATCATCTTCACGATAGTCTTCCTGATACCCACTGACAGCCCTTTAATCGCGTTCACTCGTTCTTCTACTATCCTCTCCAACTCTGGCACCTTCTCTTTCCCTTTTCCTTTCTTCATACCGACTGGAACGGCGTCCAACGCCTCATCAAGATACCCAATCTCCTTTATAGCGCGGTTTAGAGAACGGAGTTTGTAGCGATCTCGGTCGGGTCGCGTGAGTTCGTGCTGTTGGGCTGCGACGGGTGCAATGAGTGCAAAGATGAGGGAAGGAAGGATGAAACTTACCTTGTCTCAAAGCAGCTAATACTCTTTCGTTTGGGCCTCCTCCGTCTCGGTGTATCACATCTCCCACAAATTCGTACTGTTCCTCTTGGTCATCTTTCGCAGTATTCGTATTCGTACTCACGGTAGCGTTGGCGGCAGTATTGATCCTCCTCTTGGCCCTAAAAGTACTGGTACTTGCGCCTAGTATCGATGTCGAAGTTGACGCGTTTGAGTATCCCTTCCCAGTCGTCCATCCTTGCCGAGTCCGAGTCTGAATTGGAGTCGTAGGCCTAGGGATCGTAGAATGCAAAGCTACTGCTGCACACCGTACGCGTGTAAGCATCAACCAACCACCAAGGTCAAGTACGGAGAGAAAAAAAAGAGTCCAAACGAGCGTCTCTTTTCCAGTATGCATAATTAGCCAGACTCAAAGATAATATATTGCTAAATTTACACTGTGCAAGCATGCATTAATGGGGTAGTGGTAACCTGGGTCGTTGCCATCATGATGATCGACGAATTATCTTTCGACCCGCCGGGGGTTCGATTCCCTCTTAATGCATATCCTCTGTCCTCTTGCGAATTTTTTACCCAAAAATTCGCCCAGTTAATCGGAACAAGACGTTCAGTACACTACACTACACTACATATAATTTTTTTGTCATTTGCGATACATAAATTAAGTACAAGAATAGCCTTGCTGCAGCCTGCTTATAAGTTGTACTGTACCATTGCGATCATTAGTTCATTGATTCTGAAATTTTTGACCCAAAAAAATACATAAGAAATCGAGAAAAAGTTAAAACCGCACTCGGATTTTTTCGAGGATAACACATGACTCTTGAAACTTGAGTGTCATACTGTAACGTACTACCGCAGATGCAGCGAATATTAGCCGTTACTCTCCAGCTTCGACACGTATCCGGCCAAATGGGCTTTGAAGCTTGCCTGGTCCCGGTCAGAAATCTTTTAATAAGTATATATAATATAGGCTAATGATTTCGTCCGCACGCGCACAGTCACGCGTTGTCACGACTGTGACTCTCCTTCTTTCGAATCATCATGATGTTGTGTTGTGCGAAATGCTCTACGTTGTAGAATGGTTGACCATTCTGAAGGCAGAAGCTGATGGTTTGAAGATCTATTCCAAGAGGTGCTTGTGCTTTGATTTTTTCTTTATTGTGCGTTCGCTACCTTTTTGGTCTTCTTTTCTGTGCTAATTTTTCCAAATTTTAGATAAATAGATCCATAGAAGTCAAGGTTTTACAGATTTGTTAATCGGATTAGCTTCAAATTGATTCTGTTTCATCGAACACACTAGAAAAATGCATATCAACAAAGTTGTTACATAGTTATCCGCCAATCGAGAATTTGGCGCAATTCACTGCTTGTCTGTCAAGTTCGGACATGGACTTGATGGTAGTTGATGGTGTGTCGTTCGCTTTTTTTCTGATGTTGTCATTTCTCATATACTTATAGTAGTGCTGCTGACATTACGCTCAAAATAATCGAGTCTTTCAATCTTGTAGGCACAGCGAGAAACTGTATTCCGCCAGTCTTCTATGTTTCAGGCTTCCGTGCTTGCGCACACGAACCTGGAACGACCTATGTACATCGGGATTGATGGCTGGTTAGGAAGGCGTTTCAGCCTTCAGGCTACTACGGGGCTATTAGTATTGTAGTGAGTTGCGATCTTGATCTTTTGTCGCACAAACATGATCAAGTTTTCAGAACCTTGGCACCGGCTCATTTCGGGCTTTATTTTCTATTTGTACAGCGCCTCCCAGATGCCTTCTCTTATAAGCCATCGTTCGTGCGAGTTTCCTTGTTATGTCAATGCTTAGTCCTTCTCCTGTGTGGGTTCTTCTCGATGATACCCAAATGGCCTCCTCCTTCTCTGCAGGCAACTGGGTAACAGCGGGTGCCGGGACTGGTCCTTGGCTGGGCAATACTTCGACATTTATTGGTACCCCCGGTGGTGATATTATACTTTCCTTTCAAGGTTTGCATGTTGTTCTTTCAAGTCCGCTGCGGCTATCAACTGCCTTTTCTTATAGGAACCTCAATATCGCTCGTAGGTAACACCCCGTCATCTACCAACTCACCAACATGGTTTCTCGTCGGAATCGATTCAAACACGCCGTACAATGTTTCCTTCCCATATGACGGAACCCAGGTTTATGCTCAGTGGTATCAAACTCCGATGCTTTCAGACGGGCTTCATAGCATCAACCTCTCCAGTATTGTCGTCGACTTAGACTACGCGATTATCACTGCAGGTCAGACGACGCCTTTGACTGGCTCTACAATTCTCGTAGATGACAGCATGGAAGAAATCACCTACACTGGAAATGGATGGGTTGATAGTCAAGTTGAGCTGAATTTTGGCCCGGGATGGGTCAATGGGCCTCCATTAGGAAATACGACGCATCAAACGAGTACTATAGGCGATGGCTTCGAATTCCGATTCACTGGTAAGCTCTTGTACACTGCGCTCATGTTCCGAACAAACCGAAAGTTCTAGGCAGCAATATCAGTGTGTATTGCGTCTTTAAATGGAATGCTACAGGAAGCATCAGCATCGATTTCACATTGGACGGCCAAACGACCTCATCCAGCCTTTTTGTCCCCAGTGGTACAACTAGCTCGCACACAGAAACACCACAGTACCTGTTTTTCTCTGCAGGAGATATTGAAGCGGGTAACCATACACTCCTCATGAACGTTACTCAGGCTGTTGGAAGCCAGAGTTTCGCCTTTGATTATCTGACTTACCAACCTTCCTTCTCTACGCTTGTAGACAAGCCCAACTTCAACTCATCTTTGTCGACGTCGACTTCCTCCGCCACCTCCTCGTCGGCGTCGAGTACAGCCACCTCCTCAAGTACATCAGTCGCATCAACGATGAAAGGGAACCACGTCGGGGCAATCGTAGGTGGCGTAGTTGGTGGATTGGCTTTGATACTCGCGGGGATCCTGTTTCTAATGTGCCGTGGACGAAAACAAAAGAAAAGTAAGTCATGATGAATTATTCACTCCGAGTCTGGATACGTTTAGAGCTCTAATTGAATAGATTTGGGTCAACCGAGTACTGCTGCAGTGTATCGGCAACCAGAATTCGTATCATATCACACAAACCTTCCAACCAAGTCCTCCAATTCGACTCCAGGCTGCAGAAGCATCTGAGCCCTTTTTCTCCCCCTACGCTGGGTTTTCTCCTTCAGAACCAGTTTCTCGTACTGCAACGGACAATGCTGTGGACCAAGTTCGCTCGGATCCAGTGGTTGATCCTGGTTCTAGTTCTATCCCGGACATGACTCAGGTACAAATAGATGAGCTGAGGAGGAGAATTGATGATTTGGCCAGCAGGGGATCGATGGCGCCTCCTCCTGCGTATGCAAATTTGTCTTAGGCTCCCAGCGGAGTGTAATTTCTTTCTTGTTTAGGTGGACTCCAACCTATGCTTGACCAGGATAGCGTAGACAGCATGTCCACGGTTCAAATTGCCTCCTTATCCTTTAGCATTCCGTCGGCACCAATATCTTCTGCCTCTTATGAGACCTCAGTAATTGGTAAGTAAATATGCTCCCTCAAACGGCAGGGCAGCGTCTACATCTCCTGACGTGCTCCATGACACGCGCAGTCACGCGTTGTCACGACTGTGACCCTCCTTCCGAATCATCATGTGGTGTTGTATGTTATAAATTCTGAGAAGACACAGAATTACTGGTCTGATCAGGATCCAGCTGTAATCTTTCCTTCATTTTGTGTACACACTCTCTTTGTTCTTTTATTCTCTGCTAATTTTTCCAAAACAAATTAGAAATTTGGATCTGTTAATCGGACTAGCTTCAAACTGATTCGAACGCACTGGAAAAAGGATATTGACAAAATTTAAAAATATTGCTATTGGTTATTCGTCAATCAAGAATATCCGCTCCTCCTACTTGGGTAGCTCAATACGTGTGCAATTCACCTGCTTTCTGTCAAGTTCCCTAGCATACGCTCAAAACAAACGAGAGCCGCAGAGAGGTATCCAGTCTTTCATGATTCAGCCTTCCGTGCCTGTGCATACGAAGGAACGGTCTACATCAGGATTGGTGGAAGCTACTTTGGGGGCTCGAGCTGCTACGCTTGGGATTTTGCTTGTCTCAGTGCATTGCACATTGAAAAACATTGAAAAATGATTGCTCGAGCCTTCAGGCCTACTACATGGCTACATGGCTTGGGCCTTGTAGTCAGTGGTGATCTTCTTCGTATCGCGTCGTATCGAGTTTTTAGAATCGTGGCACCGGTTTGTAAGGTATTCGGGCTTGCCTTTTTTGATGTGATTTTTATGCAGTACAGCGTCTCCCGGGGGCCTTATCTCTATATAAGCCATTGTACGGTTAGAGCGCTTGCCAGTGGTTCTACCTACGCCAATGCTTACACCTTCTCCTGTGTGGGTTCTTCTCGACGATACCCAAATGGCTTCCTCCTCTCTGCAGGCAACTGGGTAACAGCGGGTGCCGGGACTGGTCCTTGGCTGGGTAATACTTCGACATGTATTGGTACTCCAGGTGGTGATATTACACTTTCCTTTCAAGGTTTGCATGTTGCTGTTTTGAGTCCGCTACATGTATCAACTGTCTTTTCTTATAGGAACATCAATATCGTTCGTAGGTAACACCCCGTCATCTACCAACTCAACCAACGTGGTTTCTCGTCGGAATCGATTCAAACACGCCGTACAATGTCTCCTTCCCATATAACGGAAGACAGGTTTATGCTCAGTGGTATTAAACTCCGACGCTTTCAGACGGGCTTCATAGCATCAACCTCTCCAGTACTGTACTAGCCCTCCTTCTCTACACTTGTAGACAAGCCCAACTTTAATTCATCTTTGTCACCATCTACTTCCTCCGCCATCTCCCCATCGACGTTGAGTACATCAGTATCGTCAGTCGCGTCAAAGGAAATCACGTTGGGCCAATCGCAGGCGGCGTAGTTGGCGGCGTCATGGGATTGGCTTTGATACTTGCGGCGATCTTCTTTCTAATGCGCCGTGGACGAAAACAGAAGAAGTCCTCTACTGATCCATGGGTCGAAAAGAACAGTGAGTTGTGTTGAATTATTCGCGCGAGATAAGTTTTAGAGCTCTACTCAAATAGATCTACATCAGGGGTCGAGGTGGATAGTTGTTCGGTTGGTAAGTTTGTTCGATCTGGTATGAATCCCGGCTGTCGAGACACAGCAGTATCCGGCGGCCTTAGAAGCATCTGAGCCCCTTCTCTCGCCCTGCACTGTGTTTTCTTCTTCCGACGTAGCTTCTCATACTACACCAGCCAAGTTGAACGCCGCTGTTGACCAAACACGTTCGGATCCAGTGGATGGTGCTGGTTCTAGTACCGGTTCTACCCCAGACATGACTCAGGTACAAATCGATGAGCTGAGGAGGAGAATTATCTTAGGCTTACAGTGGTAATTTCTAATTAATACTGACTTACATAAGAGAGCAATAGCATTCAATCGGCAATCGGCAGACTGCGTCATTCGCAACTTAATCCCAACCGCCGTCTCGAG